ATCGTCTTCAAATTGGGCATTTCCTGAACAACACAATGATTTGTAAGAAATCTGACTTGAAGGGAAGAGTTCTTGGTTAATGAGCTCACAAACAGCAAATTAAACTGGAATTGTGGAACATAAAGGACATCATGTAACATCAATGACGATGTGAGTTGGACAGATCCAGAGAACTGAACTTGAATACGATTTTTGTTGGGAAGGGTCACAAAAGAGTTCAAAATGGGAACCATGCAGTGAAATAAAGACTAATCAAAGCATATGGGACTTGTAGCACTTGAGTCAACTATCCAATATCTTGGAGAATGAAGAATTGGATGGAGGGAAACAGATAACCAGGTACCTGATGTGTGTGCAGCAGTAACATCAACTTCAGTATTAGCTTTGGCTGAAGCATATGAGAATTCAACATAGCCAACAAATGTTGATATTGACTTGGATTCAAGGTTTAAACAAAGTCACCAACATTTCCTTAATGATCAAAAAAAGAATCAGAAGTCTAGTTTGCTGTGGCAGTTACAACCTGATTTGAAGAATTAGGCCTCTGCCTTGTTTTGTAGCCTGGAGGATAACCATGAAGTTTGTAGTACTTATCCACTATATACCTGTTGAAACCACAATAGGTACAAAGTGGATATTCCTTCTTCTGTCCCTTGCCAGAATATTGACTATTGTTAGATCGATTACCCTTTGTTTTGACAGAAATACCATGGAACTATTGCCAGCTGAATTTCCTCTTGAGAAATGAGTGCAAAAACCTTATTATCAGGTGGAATGGGTTCCATAAGTAATATTTGGCGACGAGCTTGAGCAAATGAATCATGTAGTCCCATTAAGAAAGACATAACATACTTAGTCTGATAGTAATCAGCCAGATCCTTGGTACCTCCACACTTGCACTTTCCACATGAGCAAACTAGTCTATAGTTACTGAGTTCCTCCCGAGTAGTCTTCAACTTAATGAAATAGGCACCAACAGTGAGTTGAGCTTGAGTAAGATTCATTAATTCACGCCTTAACTGAAAAATTTGTGGACCATTTCTGTGCTAGAATCTCTCTTTGAGATCTTCCCAAATTTCTTGAGCAGACCTAGCATATATAACACTGGCTGATATCTCCTTAGATACGGAATTAAGGATCCAGGAAATAACTATGTTGTTATTGCGAGTCCATGAGTTAACAAGAATGTCATTACCTTTTGGTTTTGGGATAGATCCATCAATAAATCCTAGTTTGTTCTTTACCGTCATGGCTATCACCGTAGCTCTGCTCCAAGAAGCATAATTATCACCGGTCAGCTGTTGAGAAACCCGGACAAGACTGGACTGTGGGAATGGTGGGGATAATAAGGACTCGAACCATCGTCAATGGCGGAATTGCTCACCGACCAAGAAGAATTGTCCAATTGCATCAAAGGATTTGTCGCCGTGGATTTTCAGAGAACAAGGACTGAAACACTGGTAGCAAGTCTCTATTGATAGAGAACAATCGACGCCAGGAATCAATCTCAGGGAGAATCTGGAAGCAGAAAATAGCTCTGATACCATATTGAGCTAGAAAGAAATTCTATATTGATTAAAAAATGAATTCACATTTTTGTTACATGAGTTTAACTGCATATATAAATACAACAACAGAATTACAGTTGTCCATGTAAAATATCTCTATTATGGATTCTTATAAATGCTGTAAAAAAGAATGAGGTGCTTGCAGATAAAATTTTCATTTTTATCATCATTTTCATATTTTACCCACTTTCCTTGGAAAACATTCGTTTTGGCGTGAATTATACTCCATGAAGCATCTCGCATTTCCCATTGTGAATTGGTTCTTTTAATTCTTATACTCTGAAATACAGTGACTCAAAGTTTTTCACACACGTGAGCATTGAGGAGAAGAGATTTTTTCGATTGTTTTTTGTCGTGTATAGGAACCATTGATCTGCACACTCAATAATCCACCGATCTCCTATGAACATTTTACCTGGCTAAGGATGCTCGTATTTTAGGGTAGGCAGTAGTAGGCGCGGTTGGCAAATTAGGCATCGATTCAGCATCACCTGAAGTTTCCTGCTTTTCAATCAGTAATAAAATAGAACTTCCATTTTATCATTATAATTGCTGCTGCATCTGCGAGTTGTTATCAGAACAAAACCATGACATCCACATTTACGAGGGAGGATCATCCGAATAATCACTCGAAATCTCTGAAATCCGAGATTGATGCAGGGGAAGCTTATAGGAAAGATAAAAATCCCACAAAAAGAATTTCAATCAAGAGAAATTCAAGAAAAACTTTATTTCATTCAAAACTAAGCTGCCTCAAATGGCTTACAATGTTTAAATAGCGAAAAACCTAAGAAAATTCGGAAATATTACATAATAATAAGAA